ACATTGTGGCATTTTAACAGATGGGCTATGAAGAATGATAAAAAATGAAGCAATATTAAAGCAGTCTGGAACAAAATTAAAGGATATGTAGAAGATGGAGAGAGGAGAGACCATAACAGGTGTTTAGAAGGTAGATTTTATAAGACTTTGGGACTAATGTACTAGGACTACATACGAGTATACACATAGGAATTTAACATTTCTAGCTTAAGTGACTGAATCTTTCAAATTTGGGAGTGGGATGCAAAGTTAACTCCTATTTGTTGAAGTCCTTTTATAGAGAATGAAGAAAGTGCAGATTTAGGATGAATGTGAAGGAGGTAGAAGAGATGAACTATAATGTTGAAATATTGATTTATGTGAAATCTAGAATTCAGCGGGAAAAAATCCAAGCTGGAGACGTCTACTGTGTAAAAAAGTTGAATTGTGGAGATAAAAAGAAGTCCTGTGTGAAGAAGATGCAAAAATTTTAGATAGAGATTTTTAAAAGCAGGATACTTAGATAAAGTCATCAGACACTGCTTACTTTGTTTTTTTATGAAGTCCTTGTGAGCTGTCAACCCTAAAGTGTAGACCTTGTGCTTGGTCTGATTATTAGATTGTAAACTGAAAATAAAATCCTAAGCCCCTTGCCAAGTGAATGAAACCCCTCTTGACTAAGGGGACCCCATAAAATCCCAGCCATAATGGGAAGGGAGGTCAGATACACCTCATTATACCCCTTCCTTTTTGGAGTTTAGACACAATTGACTAGCATTAAGGTTAAAATGGAGATCATATGACAGACAAAACAGACTGTTTGTGACAATAAGATACTAAATTATTAACAATATCTAAGGCCATACAAGGCAAAATTTAAATACCTGCAGACCATCAATTTGCTTAACAGATCACTTGAGTTGGTGTATTGCTGTCTCTGATTAACAGACTTCCTTATTTTAACTTAAAACATTCCAAGCCTTTAGACAAAGCTTTATTTTTTTAACTAATTACAAATCAAAGGATCTTTAAACCCACCTATAACC